TTTTTTTTTAATTTCAATTTATCTGAGAGCAATCTTACTAGGAGCTGAAACTAAATAGTTGATAGTTTCTATCTTGAAGTTAATGTGTAAATGCTGATGATCTTCTTTTATGTATTCTCGTGTCTGTTCAGGGATTGTTGCAAAAAAGGCCAGTGACTGTAAATTTATGTGTATTTTGTTCTATAACCTTGTTTGAAAACCATCAATTTGATCTAAAATAATCAAGAATTCTAACTCGATAGTGGAAGCGTACCTGAATCCATAGGCGATTAAGCTTAAGGATTGTGATTGACACAGTCCACAGATTCAGACACCATCGAATTACATCGAGCAAGAAGGCTGGGTTGAATTCAAATCCTACTTTTGGGTGACTGTTTGTTGAGCAATTCCGAGTCGATTATGGTCCTATAAATTAAGAATGTTAATGAGATCTGAGTCAATTCTCATTGAGAACCAGATTGTAAGATGGTGGATGGAGGTATAAAGGTGAAATCAGATATAATATTTTGGCTTGTCTGGATATGCATGATTAAGATATGCAAAACATACCTTTTATTCTTTTTGAGGTGATGCCATACACTTTGTCTTTCTCAGGGAATCTTCGTAAAAAGAAATTACTTTTGTGTTTGTTCAAGGTTTTTAAACAATTGTTAGGAAAATTTTGCTTTTTTCTTTTATGTGCCAGTTACTGTACTTCTGTAACACTAGTATTTTACTACTCCAGCTTATCGAAATTGAATTTCCTTTCTAACTTACTATTCGTTAATAGATTTTCTGTGGAAGCTTGATAAATGGGTTCGACGGCAGTTGAAGACCTGATTGAGGCTTCATCAGGGGCTCATTTCTCGGGGTTTCATCTAAAAAATCCAAGCACTTCACAAGTTGAGCAGCCAACTACTTCTGCACCTGAAAGTGTCAAGCAACCTTTTGTCATAGGTAGTGCTAGCATATATCTAACCTTCTTCTGGAAGTGGCCAACCCATTTTATTCCATGATTTTGTTGTTATATTGTTAAAAGGATAATATTTTATAGTGGTAGCGATGTTGTTTTGTGTTGCCACGTGTAAAAAAAAAAAAGATAGCAAAATTACTTCATATTTGAGCTGAATTTGCCAATTTAGGGCTAACCAATGTTAATATATATATGTGTGTGTGTGTGTGTGTGTGTGTGTGTGGGTGGGTGTGGGCCTTCTGGTGTCTGAAGCATTTTCTAATTACATATATAACACAAATTTTGATTCGAGAATAAAACTTCCACAACCAATTAAGGTGAAAAAGTGAAATGATGTCAACATCTTCAAAGGATTTAAAGACTGCCGACTATAAGTATGTAGATAAGAAATTAGAATAACATGCTATCTTGCGTTGTCAGTCTTTATTACACTGTGTATGATGTTTTATCAATAAAAATTCAATGTAGGATTCTAATGAGCATGGATATTTGCGTTTAAGTGGGTTTGGAATCTGATGTGACCATTTTTACACACACTCACACAGACTCTAGTATAAGTTTGAGGTTGATCAGGCTATTCTATGGAGGTGTGCGTGGGTTAGTTACTTCTGCGAAATATAATGAATACAGCGTAATAGACAATTTTTGATTTGTATTGGTTGTCTATGATTAGAGACGTAATTGGGTCTAAAAATGCAGTAATTTCGCAATTTCACTAATCAGATAGCATGTGATACACAAGGGTCAGAAATAATACCTCCTATTGATATCATCAGTAAATGCCACTATAGTTGTAAGATATTTATTTATTTTCCACATTAAATGAAGGCGCACAGCTACTATCAGGATTACGAGAACTTCACATTTGCTGTAGGAGTAGCATTCGATGGTTGCTGTGCATTCTTTACATTTTCTTTTTCTATATGAGCATGTATCACCTTATAGTTTGGTGAGCTGATTAGCTGAAATTTGCACGCCATGGATGAGTTTCTGAAGAAACTAGTTCTATTTTCCTGATGCAATTTTAGATTCATTGAGATTAATCCAAGTGAATGCATGAGTTATTTAAAGAACACTGCATTTTAAGGTGATATAAATGTGTTGCAGTCGGGGAGTTGTCATTTATACTCAAATGGAACCCATGACTATTCAGTCTTTCCTTGTACCACTCGGGTTCAGAGTTTCACTCCCTATTATTTCTCTAATTCCTATTTGTTATAAATGCTTCATGACGGTCTTGAAAATTTTGCATCTCAGGGGTTGCTGGAGGTGCAGCATCTGGGAAGACTACAGTTTGTGATTTGATAATAGAACAGCTTCGTGATCAGCGTGTTGTTCTCGTTAACCAGGTATGACCCTCTCTAGGATACGCAAATCATTAGTTTTCCTTTCTTTTCTTTCTTGTGAAGTGGTAGCTCTTTCTTTTTTTCATTGCAATAAATTACATGTGTCACTTCACTTAACATTTTCTGTGTTGGTGTTTTTGAAAAGTCTAACTAATTGACTTTTCCCTGTGACATCTTATCAGGATTCCTTTTACCACAGTTTGACACCGGAGGAACTTAAAAGAGTTCATGAATACAATTTTGACCATCCTGGTTAGTTTTGAGATTTTTTAGCAACTTTGTCTTCCTTGGCATTTTTCTATCTTTGTTGATTCATCATTTTGTTAAAGACTCGTCTGATAAAAGATGTACGGTGGCCGTATGTGTGTTTTGATACTGTACTTGATTAGCACTAAATTTATGAAACATACGATTTCACTACAAACAATTTTGATCATTTTATGATTTTTATTTGTAAGCCTTCTCTGTTGGTGTTATTTCTTTGCAGTAATTTTTTATTTATCAACTTTCATTTTTACCTTGCCATTTTATGTATGTGATTAGCACACAGTTCTGACCCTGCGTGGATCTCTCATCACCCTTGTATATGGTTCTTTGGTTTTCTGGCATGTGTGAGTCAATAGTGCTTCTATTTTTGGCATGTGCGAATAAATTATCTAGGGTTGTTATTCGAACCAAGTTGTTGGTTTGGCTCGAGCTCGGCTCGTTTATCGTTCACAACTTAAACGGGCCGAGGTCGAACAACTACTCGAGCTCTTTTATTATACTAGCTGAGCCGAGCTTGCTTGCAAACAACTTGGTTAGGGTTTACGGTTAAGGGTCTTGGATTTTAATTTACGGTTTTGGAGTAACTAAACAAGCTGAGCCAAGCGGAGCTGACTAGAGCTTCACAAGCTTACACGAGCTAATCTTGAGCTCACATTACTATTGATTTATTCGAGCCAAGCTGGCACGTTTATTGAACTACTGGAGCTCGAACATGAGGTACTCGGCTTGGCTCAGCTTGAATAGCTTCCTTTTCATTCTTGGAGAATGGGTGATTAAGATATAATAGTTCTTGAAGCGCCATATGAAATTTGATTTGTTTAGTAAGGTGAAATGTGGCACCACCGGGAAATCAATATGCATTTTTCCATTACGGTCATTGAGCAATTCCATGCTGCATTATGCTTCATTTTAATTTTATTTTTGTTCAGATGCATTCGACACAGAGAAATTATTGTGCATATTGGATAAATTAAAATGTGGTCAGGCAGTTGACATCCCAAAATATGATTCCAAGAGCTATAAAAATGACGTGTTCCCAGCTCGAAGAGTAATTTTCTGTATACTCCTTTCTTAAATTACTCCGCTTTTATTTCAATCCATTGAACTTATAAATTCTCCTAATTTGGCAGGTAAATCCGTCAGATGTTATTATTTTAGAAGGTATTCTCATCTTCCATGATCCGCGTGTCCGGAATTCAATGAATATGAAGATATTCGTAGATACAGGTTCATTTTATTCCTTTCACTATTATTTGCTTGTTTTTAAATGTGTATTTCTACACTCAATGTCGGACAAGAAATTCATTTTCTATTTCATAATTCTGAAAATTCGAGTTTCTATAGTGTAATCAATTATTGTTATAGAGATTTCTTTGGGATTCTTGATGTATTAGACATAATTGATCAGCGACTTGAAAGAGCTTGCTCTAAAGTCGGAACATATTATCACTTCCTAAATATATCTTAACCAATATGAAAGACCTTTACTTGGACAAGTTACTGCTATGTCTGCAATTTTAGAGCATTATATATATGTTGTCATGCACCTGTAGGAGGCGAGTGTTGTTATGGCATTAAGTTTTCTGTTTATTGTTTCTCTTCTCCATCTCTTCGATTTTGCTGGGTTAAAACTGTGAGGGAGTGCAATTGATGATGAGGCACTTAATGTACTTGTTTGTGTGATATTCAATAACAAAAAAATTTCAGTGCAGATGCTGATGTACGGTTGGCGAGGAGAATAAGGCGTGATACAGTAGAAAAGAATCGAGATATTGGTATGGTGCTTGATCAGGTATTAAATAGCTCATTTTTCTACATTTCCATATCAAACTTCCATCAAAACAAATCTTGTGTTGTTTACGGTACCATTTTTTATCCTTTAATTATACTTATGATGTATTCATATTTTTGCATCTTAATTTCTTTACTTTCAAAATTTCCTTTTTCATTTTTTCTGATTCTCCATCAACTGATACATGTATGTATCTATGATCATTGGGTTTTATCTACATGCAGTACTCAAAATTCGTAAAGCCTGCCTTTGATGATTTTATACTCCCAACAAAAAAGTATGCTGACATCATCATTCCGCGTGGAGGAGACAATGCTGTTGCAATCGATTTGATCGTCCAACATATACGAACTAAACTTGGTCAACATGACCTGTGTAAAATCTATCCTAATTTATATGTTATTCATTCAACTTTTCAGGTATTAATTCATTTCTTGCTAACTTTACGTTAGTGAGAACTGACTCTGTTTTTTCTCTGTATACTACTGTATCTTGTTATTTAATTTCCCTTTATATCTGATGTTTTTTGTCTTAATCCAGATACGGGGTATGCACACACTTATACGTGATTCTCAAACGACGAAGCATGATTTTGTGTTTTATTCTGATCGGTTGATACGCTTGGTATGTGTTGATGTTTCTATTTACGCTGCTATCCGCCACCATTTTTCTTTTCCCGTAAGGAGAATTAGTTTGGGCGGGTTTTGCTTATTTTCTGGAATTTCATGTATATTATTAGGTAGTTGAACATGGTCTTGGGCATCTGCCATTTACAGAAAAGCAGGTGATCACTCCAACTGGTAAGCCAATATGACCAGTTATTTGCTATTTGTGCTTAGATTTTTTAAGAACTATATCTTGATGAACTTTAGAAGTATTTGTCTTAGCCAGGTGGTGAGGGTGGATTCGGATTGGATATTCAGTCATTTGGATTTTGTTTTATTTGTTTAATTGGAGAAAGAAGATCGAATGGTAGAATTTGTAATTTAATAATATTAACTGAGGTAATAGAAAGTATAATTAATTAATTGTGATGTGATAGAAAAATAATAAAATAATGATATGTAGTTATAATTATGTGAGTGGATGAATAGTAAAGTTTATTGGTAAACGTATATAATTGATTGGTTTTTAAATTCAAAATTGTATTGGGAAAATTGGTGAGAGAAAAAAAAAGTGATAAGGATGAATATTGTAACTTTTTATTTGTGCATGTTAGCTAGCTTTCAATTGTGCACCCTTAGGAACTGTCCTTTCCAGGTTTATCGAGTCACTGATATTGTTCTTAGTGATCGAGCACTATAATGTCAACTTGTTTGGTTAAAGAAAACCCAGAGCATCGTAATTATTTTTATTTTATTGGTCTCTTATTGCAGGATCTGTTTACACTGGAGTAGACTTCTGTAAGAGATTATGTGGTGTCTCTGTAATCAGAAGGTGAAAACAGTGAAATTTATTTATTGGTTTTCTATTTTCCGAGTCGTTGATTTTTTATTTTTTTTATTTTATTTTTTCAACCGTGTCTTTGAACTATTGAAAAAAAAAATCAGTGGTGAAAGCATGGAGAATGCCTTACGAGCATGTTGCAAAGGAATTAAAATTGGCAAAATTCTTATTCATAGAGAAGGTGACAATGGTCAACAGGTTAGCAGAATCAGCTCATAGTCTTATGTGACTCCATTTCCGTTCTTTAATTTAATTTTAATTCCTAAAATTTATGTGCAGCTGATCTATGAAAAGTTGCCAACAGACATCTCAGATAGACATGTACTATTGTTGGATCCGATCCTCGGCACAGGTCAGCCTATTCATTTTTTTGACAAAATTCATCTTTTGAACTAATTTTTATGTTAGTATGCCCATGTTAAGGTTTTTAAGAGGATGAATACATATACTACTTTGGAGGTCTACTCATCCCCCACACCCCAAAATATATATATGTATGTATATGTATGTATATATAATAAAAATTAAATAAAGAAAGAAAGGAATTTGTATCATCATTCAGTATTAGACACTTCAGATATGTTTCTATTTTGCAAATTGCACCTAATTAGGGGATAATTTTATAGGGCACTCAAGAGAATATTGGTATAACCTCTATGGAGTACTTCTAAATTTAAACATCAAATGATTGTTTTGTAATTAAGCTATACTCCTGGGAGATTTTCATTATTATTATTATTATTTTTTTTCTTGGTCAGATTTATCTAGTATATATGTTTTGTCACTGTGAATTTGTATCTTCAGGCAATTCAGCAGTTCAAGCTATTTCCCTTCTTATCAAGAAGGGCGTGCCCGAGTCCAACATCATATTCCTCAACCTCATTTCTGTATGTATTATCCCTTCCTATATATTTATTCAAAACGTGTTGAGCCTAAGTGGCAGATTCTCACGCTTCAGATTCTGACATGATGAAAATCTATGCTTCGTGATGTTTTTATATTATTTTTGATCTGGAGTTAGGTTTGGTATTAGATATAAATAATTTTTATCATATACTATTTATTTTTAATATATGTCGTTTTGAGAAGTTGCAAACTAATTAAGAATATTTTTTTTGTCAATAATAACCTTATTTAATATTTAATGAATATAGAGATGAATGTTTTGAGAAAAAGTGAAGAGTGAATATGAAAAGACGTAATGTATTTGTTGGCTAAATGAGGGTAATAATGGATAAATATGTACAAAATATCCAAAACGACATTTATTTGGCAAATAGTTGAAAAAGCTAGAATGACATTTAAAAAAAATAGGAGGGAGTATGTCTTAGTTTTGTTTTGTTTTGAGCCCTTTTTTTGTGTTTCTCTTACCACTGTTTCTCTTGGGTTTCATCTCTAGCCTACCCCAACTTGTTTGGTACTAAAAGACTTTGTTGTTGTTGAATATGTCTTAACTCAACACCCGTGTTGTACACGGGTATTGTACTAGTTTTTGTTAAAATAAAACAATTCCCACTTTTGCTCTCTCTTTTCGGCCATGAGGAGAATGATGACGTAATCTTTTAACCAAAATTCATATGATCCTTCAGGCACCTCAAGGAATCCATACTGTGTGCAAATGTTTCCCACGTGTAAAGATAGTGACCTCTGAGATTGAAATCGGCTTGAACGAAGATTACCGTGTTATCCCTGGTATGGGCGAATTTGGTGACCGGTACTTTGGCACAGACGACGATTGAACCACAAGATAGTTACGAATATGAAACACATTCCATTGTTCCAGGCGATAAAAAAAACTCGGTGCTCAATTTTGCAAACATAAGATATTAAATTGTCATTGTCATTCACAAAATGTGGAGAACTTTCATATCTGAAACGATTTTGACTATATATGTCCACCTCTTTATACGAGGTCATATGAACAGTGTCGAATTGGTGAATTAGCTCTCAATGATTTGTTTAAGCTGATGCAGGTGATGTTTGTCTTTTATGTGAGTGAGGTTGTGTTGGCTGCAATTTTTTACAAGTAAGCTAGAATAGTGAAAAAGGATATTCTGAATCTTTTTGCACTTGATAAATTCATTTCTGTGTGCATCTCCAGAAATACTTACTCCTACCTGATATATATATACAAAATTTCATTTGGACCAACTTTTTTGCTTGGTAAAACAACAAGAGCCAACTCTAGACAGAACAGAGAAAAAGAAAAGTGAAGAAAAATATTCTTTCATCTCTTTGTTTTGCAGCTATGGGAGAGCATAACACCATTAGGCGGACTCGTCATCTCTATCCAGCATTTCCCATGCAACCAGTAAGAGTAATGAACCAAACCCATGTTAGCTCTCACTCTGAAATTCCCTTTTATGTCGTAAACTACTATGTTCCTCGACTCTTGCTTCTGAAGGCGGAGAGCAAGATTTGGCGGCAAATAGACCAAGCTCGACAGCAGATGAACCGGGATCAGCCTCACCTCGCCTGGCCTCTGACTAAAGGGTCGAATGACTTGAGTCGCTATTAGATTTTCCGAAAAGTACAACTCGATATCAAGATACTCGAAATTGATCTCGAGCTTTTTGTTGGGGTTGGAAAAATTCGCGATAAATGTCAAGTCGTTATTTAGAAATTGCAAAGAGTCAAAGTAGATGACGCTAAGGCTGGCTGCTGGGGTGTCGAAAACGGGATTTTTGGGCTTGATGGCTACAAACACGACTATAGTCGTGATCCCGAAGAAAATCAAGAGGATGCTGAACACCAAGCATAGGATGGCGAGGAACCATACGACTGGATTTGTTTTTCTAGGTTGTCTGAGGATAGGCTGATGATGATCTCTTTCTCTGAGCTTGGTGATGGCTAGAGCATTTTCGGGCGTCGAGTTTTGGTGATTTGTATTGGATTGTTTTGATGGGATTATCTGAAAAGGAGATGGCTTTGACTGCTTGAGTGGAGAAGGGATGTATGGTGGTGGTGGTGGAAGAGGATGCATTTTGTTTATGAAGAATGAAGAATGAGAAGGTAAATTGAAATTGTTGTTAATTTAAATGATGTTGGGAGTGGATTAAGGGCAAAGCAAAAGGAAGAAAAACAAGATAAAAAAGGAAAAAGAGAGAAAAGAAGCTTTTGAAGATTAGTGGGAGCCAATTAGTTCTTTGAAAAAAACAAAAGCAAAAGCATATGGATCTTAGTATGGATGTAAGGATTTGAATAGTGGTCTGCTTTTTGGTGTTGAAAGAAGAGAAACACTACAAAATGTAACTAGTGAGGATTTGACCTGTCGAAAATAATCTCATAGGTAAGCCATATTTGCTACCACCTTTTTGGTGTTTTTATTTTAATGCTTACTGGCTAAGAAAGTACCCGAGTGGTGGATATTGGGGACATTGAGATAAAATGGGCTTTCACTAGAAATACCAAAACGGGTCGGCTGGCCTGCCCCGCCGTCCTGACGAGCCTATAGGGCAGCACAACTCAACACCACCACGCGTCGCGGACTAGGTGGGTGATGAAGATCGCGTGTCCCGGATGTACGTTGCCTCGAAGTTGCGCGCGAACGGCTCCTACTAGGCGATGGTGCGAACGACTCAGAGGTTAATCTCCTTATCTTCTCGCGATAGGTGAGACAGCTCGGACGTGAATCCTTGTCAAACTCGAGCTTATGACGAACTATGCGGTGAAACGCCCTTTTCGACACAAGGATTTTGTGATAAAACACTAAGAATTCTAAACACAAGAAGATGAGCAAAAGTTCAGATTTTTATAAATATTCAAGATGATTTAAAATAACATGAGGAAGGACCTTTATATAGACATCAACTAGATCTAGTCCTAATCTAACTATACCTCTCATAAAACAATAAAATATTAAGTAACCTAAACAATCTAGATATCACAATGCCATAAGGAAACTAAATAACTAAGAGATCTTGAAAGCCTTGACTTGCACTCCAAGTTGGGAAGAATAATCTAGAGAAGATTCAGCTAAAAAAGACTCCTAGAAGACTCGGTTTCTTGTTGGACAAGTCGCAGCGCGCTGTCTCGCTGTGTTGCGCCCCTGTGCGCGT